TGTGTCTTTCTGTGTTGTAATTTTAACTTTTAGTTACCACAATAGTTATTGAGATGTGGCCCCATTCAATGGTACAGGAGAAATGTCACATGTGCTGACCTGGGCTGTAGAAGATACAATTCATGTACTACTTGTATGCGCTGTTTACAATGATCTTAGAAACAACTACTGTACATTTATCTTTTGTTAAGACCACTGAAGGCAAGATGATCTCTTGTAATGGCTTTTTTTTTCTATTCTCCAATGCAGAGTAGTATGTATTGTTTAGAGCAGTGGCATCCCTAGGGCTGGCAGTAACTCATGGTGTCACCTTCCCCTGTCATTGACCTCCTTCCATTTCACACTGTCCTTAGTCATTTTTTTTGCACTAACGTTACTCATAAATCCTAATTCCACTATACCACTGAATGTCATGCTAATGTGACAAAAACAACTAGCAACATTAACATTAATCCTTGAAATTACAATATCATAAGCACAACCTAAATGTATTTACATATATAGAGAGAATATTTGGTTAAAATGTGATGTTTTTAAAGACCCTACTCCCACCACCTCTTAAAGAGTTTTAAAGGGAAGCAGATGAATGTCACAGCCCCTTTCTACCAAAAGGCAGGTTTGAGAAGCAGTGGTGTCACCACCACCCCTTAGGGTGGCACATGGTGTGGTCTGAACCCCCCACACCCCTTGTGATGACACTGGTTTAAAACACCAACATTTCTTATCTAGGCTTTACAAATACCTTTATAAAGCCTAAAGGGTGTGTGTGTGTGTGTTGTGTGCCTTCAAGTTGATTCTGACTTGTGGTGACATGAGGTTTTCTTGGCAAGATTGGTTCAGATGAGGTTTGCCACTGCCTTCCTCTGAATGTGATAGCATATGACTTGCCCAAGGTCATCCAGTGTGATGTCATTTCATGACCAAGCTGGGAATCAAACCCTGGTCTTCAGAGTTGTAGTCCAGCACTAAAACCACTGTGCCATGCTGGCTCTCAAGTGGTTATGGAAATTTCTTCTACTTTTAAAGCTTAATTACCAGTAATGTAAATTGTATTGACCCCCCCC